AAAAAAAAAAACTGGGATTTTGTAGATTCGCCTCTTCTTGTTGAGTCTTTCATCTACTTGTGATTTTTACCATTCTCGGAGAATGATGAACTGAGGAACGATTTCGTCTGGCCATAAGGTACGGTTGAAGAATTGCTTTGTCATTTTTCTTCCCTAGTTTGTTGTCCTTGTCGAATAGGTTGGATTCGTCAACATGTAATTTATTTTTCCTCAATTTTTTCACAGAAACCCTAGTCTGACCCCATCACTGTTGCTCCCTCCGATTGATTCGGTCTTCCTTCAGGGTTAAGGTAAACTTCAAAACATTGTTACCATAAAATGGAACGAAGGGATGATTTGGGTTGATTAGGGTTCTGTCTCGACAGAAATTTGGAAAGCCGGGCAAATGAATTCTACGATTTGGGAGTAAAGACAAGCATTATGTAATGGGAGGGTAAATTAAGCATATTACTTGTATCCTATGCATTTGTCCATGATAGTAAACATAGGACAAAGTTTAGACTATTTAATCCCTTGATGTAAATAGTGGACTAAATGGTGAAATGTAAAGTTAACTTGATTATTTAGTCATATCCTATCTCACAAAGTAAATGAGCCATAAGAGCACCCACAATGCTTTGGGTCTAATTTTACATATGTGGCATATAAATAGACTTAAGTCCTAAATGACATGGACAAAACAAAGTAAAAAAAAAAAACTCAAAAGCTATTCAATGCATAAATAAAATACTAGGTCTAGCATACATGACAACCAATAAAAATACTCTAATATATTTCATTTATTAAAAAATATTAAATGAGGAATAAATGATGAGTGCTTGGGTTTGAACTTGGGTCTAAAATAGACCCAAGTGTGGACTAAGTCTCTTTTATTTTATTGCCACATAAGCTAGACTAGGTCCACTTTTAATTGCATGGGGAAACACTTTTTATAGATTAGGTCTATTTCGTACATGACATGTAATTTTTTTCTAAGAGACCCAAAGCATTGTGGGTGCTCTAACAAATCTAGTATCCCCACTCATCACAGAGTCTAGATCTATCAGTGCGAAAATGTGAGGACGGACAGTCATCCACAAAATGCTCTGGATTACCACATCTACTACACTATCCTCTATCATTTCGGCGACATGCCCGACGATCTATTTGCATGCGATGACGCTTTGTTTGCGCGCGACTGGTCCAGCCTTCGTGATCATCCTCTCCCAATGTGGTAGTAAGGTCCATCCGACCAGTGGCCATGTGTCTGGATCACCAATCGGAGCAAAACTCCAATTAGAAAATTAAGCTACCCAGTTCTCCGTCCAAAAGTAGGAATCATACATTAACTTTGGTGGAGTCGCAAGTTGACGACACACAGCTATAGCATGAGAGCATGATTTCTTATGTGTCTCCCACTTCAGACAACTACAAAGCATCTGGTCGTACGAAACCTTATGCCTATTTTTCCACATTGAATTATATTTATAAACAACCAAAAATTTTAATGAACTAAGATAAAACAAATAAAATTATACAATAAATAAACAAACCATATACCTTTTGTCCCCTCTACCATCAGCCCGTAGACCGGTTGTCACCTAGTACATGGATCTCGCCACGTTCGCACATTTCACCTTATTAGTTGCGACCGTAGTCTCCAATTCGCAATAAACAGCATAGTGGGCACTAGCAATGACAGTACTGCATCTCGTGGACTTCTTTTGTTCCTGCTCAAATAAGTCCAGATTTTCATGAATGTGGCGTGTACCAAACCTCGATAGGGCAAGAACCTAACACCTTTCAGGATGTTGTTGCAACTCTCGGACATATTGGTTGTCAATGTACCTCATCCAAGTCCTCCGTCTCCAATCAGGGTCCACTTGTTCAGAGGAATTCCGAACAGGTAATCGTATGCATCCGGATTAAAATCCGAAAGTCGCTCTCGTATACGTTGAAATTTTTGCTCTGAAACCTGTGAACCCAACTCCCAACACCAATTTCGAATTTTGTTATTCCTGAACCTAGTAACCACGTTGCTTCGAAGGTGTCGAAGACAAATTCAGTGATATGCAGCGGGTTCTTGCGAAGCCTCCAATGAGTCCACGACACTCTGTAAGCCCGCATCCCTGTCTGAAAGAAAGCATAACTGTATGTCGCCGACAACATGTTGTTAGAGATTTGTTAGGAAAAATGACCAGCTTTCCCTGCTCTCTTCATCCACAATCGCATAGGCGATTTGCAATAACCGCTTATTCGCAGTCTGTGCAATAACCACAAGTAACTTCCTCTTGTACGAGCCACGCAAATATGTGTCGTCCATGCTAATTACCGGCGGACGTCTCTGGAAGGTCTGAATGGCGGGACCAAACGCCCAGAAAATAAATTTGAATTCTCTGTGCTGATAGTGGGCTGCCATTTCCCCACCCTGCCATTCTCACTGTACAACTGTAGTGGGATTCGCTCTTTGAAGCGCCGCAAGAAACCTGCACTTTACAAGTAATCGTCAATACATAAACATAGTGACAAATAACATGTACATTTTTAATAAATTGTTTGTTACTGAGGGATTTGTGCGAAGTTTGATTCCCAAGTGCCATACAAACGATCGATGACTTTTTTCCTCCCGTGCCATGCCTTCTTATAGCTCACATCGCCTTTTCAACATTTTTTAACATCCTCCTAGATCAGGGTAACACTGTACTTGGGTTTCTTTTGAATCTTAGTCATGATAAGATTTGAAATTATTATGGCGGTTACATTTATGTGGTAATTTTTTTCGACTTCTTGCATACAACTGTGCCTCTCAGTCCATTTCGTTACTTCCCACATTTTATGAACCCATGTGCACTGCGTCACCCGAGCCCTCCACGGACAAGGTTGATCTTCGTTAGATTTGCACACCACCTTGAATGATTTTTTATTTGAATATGTTGTCATAACCTCCCTCAATCTACTAACGTTCCAATTCATGATACCCATTTGTGCTTCTTCTTTGGACTGGAAAACAGTACCCAAACGGATAGTCTCAACATTTCCATTCCAACGTAACCCAACATGCTCATCCCGGTCTACACAAGACGGGTCCCACTCACCCATCTCGCGATACACGTGTTGACTGCTACTAGGAAATGGGTGCTCTTCTGTAAATTCTGGTTCACTCTCCTCGTTTATTGATCTATCCGATTCTGTTTCCGAGGTATCATCTGTGAAACTGTCTTCTCCAGGAATGAAATCTTCATCACGTTCTTCCTCATTATAGCATTCTCTAACTGTTGAGCTTGTCCCTTCGCCAAAATTATGAACATGCGAAGTGGACGTACCCTCAACATCAGCCACACCCCCGTAAAAAGGGGAAACATCCTCAAATTGCGTAACATCTATAGGTGCCTGCGTAACCTGCTTCAACTCTAAATGCAAATACACATAGGAAAAAAGGAGGAAAATAATATATCCACTGAAGAGTTTAGAAAATTTTTAGGTTTTTTCAAAACCTAAAAATCAATTTTAGGGTTTTAAAAAACGTATTTGCATAATACGTTTATATTTCTTTTTTTTTT